AGTTTATATTAATTTAATTGTCATATTTTGACTGATTTTGGCGATTTTCAATTATTTCAACGCAGCATGGATCAGATAGCTCTCATAGTTTGCTGAAGAATGTGGCTTTTGCTTGGTTATTTTCAAGTTATATGTGATTTGGTGCGCCGTGATCGTAGCATTATATAAATATATCGACTTTAAAAATTGAATCAACTTTTGAAGTGAAGTTCACATGAAAAATCAAAAGTTCAAGCATAATAATTGTTTAAACAATGAGGCAACATGTGTCTCCCAGATGGAACTTATATTTCAATTGAAAACTGAAAATGGGAAACAGAAGATGGATCTGCGGAGTTACTGAGATCACAAGGTGCTCTTGATTGTTGGTAATTGAAGATGTTGAGAGAACTTGTGAATCTGCATACCAGTCCTGACTTGCTTGATTGTTTAAAACTATTTTAATTCTCATAATTGTGTAATGTGTAGTGACTACACACCGCGCAGCACATGTGCGCAGAAATGTGCAGGTGGCTGGTAGGTGGGTTAAACTTCGGAGATGCGAATTTGGATGTCAGTTAATAGTTATAAAATTAATGGTTATGTCTTGTAGAGTAAGCTCTGCTGTTTTTTTTTGTAATTGTCTTTTTTATAATTGTAACCTACAATTTTTTTTTTTTTTATAAATTTAGCTCGAATGTTTGAATGGACGGATTGACAGAGCCGGAGCCCACGCTAAGCAGAGCTTGTTGCGTAGACCCCGACCCCTACCGTCCGATCGCGCAATTCCGGGTAACGGGAGAATTTAGATGCCAAAGTTTAACGTGCCCTTCAAAGCCGGACACGGCCTGTCCCACTCAACTGACTTCAACTGGCTGCGGCTGCTCCCACCAACCGCAGACCATCCCCGTCAGGAGTCTCAAATATCGAGCGCCGGAGCGTCTCGAACCCGGGCTCTCACTACCGGGAGTCCGATGCTCTACCAACTGAGCTATGGGACAGGCAATGGGACACGTACAATGCTGTTAGTTTCATTTTTATTAAAATGCTCGACCAGAATTTGCACTTGTTCATGCATGAATGGCTAAGTTTCGGGTGTTTATTCAACCCTGACTGCTCAAGTTTTTCAAAGGCACATGACACAGCACGGCTAGATCAGCTGGTACCTACCTGTTGACTATTTTTGTTTTTGGTGGTGATGTGTTTGCTGTTTGTCTTTTGCAAGGTGGTCAATGAAATAAAATAATGCATTATTTTGGAATGTTTCCTTGACAGAAGCCAGGAGCCGGATTGATGTGTGCTGGTGAATGAGTTGGTTCAAAAGCATTATCTGATGTTTTTCAATGTGCATAAGCCATAACATCCCTTTCATACGCTGAAGTTTTAATAGCTTCTCAGTCTCTGTCATTTTCCTGAAATATTGGTGTAGATAAGAGATATCAGTACCTTCTCAGAGGTACCTGCCTTCTGCTGGATGAATATTTAATTGGTTGGACGAAATGGACAGGTAGCCTTATGATAATGTAATGTGAAATCTTATTTCTATAAAACTTTGAAAATGAAGTTCTAATTATTCATATGTGCATACATTTTTGATGACTAAGAAAGTTTTCCAGAAGAGTAGAAAATGTGGGAAAGTCTATCAAATAACACATTCTGAAGGCTCAACGCTGACAGAGTGCTGCCTCAAAGAATAACTGACTTGCTGGGTTACGAATATTTCTTTATTTTAATTTTCAAATGTAATGTACAATACATTGCAGTGAAATAACAAAATAGTGCAGTAAAATAGTATTGGCGACGATCAAAGAACACGTGCGCCATTGATGTCTGCAGAAATTGCTACCAGATTGCTACCAAATCCGTGACGTAGCTACGGCGCCTTTATTTCCCTAGTGAACCAACCTGAGTAGTAAAGTAATCTTGATACAATGTACTAGGGTTGACTATTAAGTAATGGAAGTGCCTTAAGCAATTAAACGTTTTTGCACGTGCACATATTTTTTTGGTGTCATTTCATGTGCCGATGTTTTTTCTATCCAATGGTGAAGACCACATGTCCTTAGCTACTTTTTGCTATAAGCTATCGTCGTTTTCCCAAGAGACCACCCGAACCTGTGGCGCACCACCTGGCAATGGCCAAAATCGCGACCCAGCGCCGAGTGCAAGGTCATTAGAGCTCAGTTTGTCGTAGGGAAAAGGCCTACCAAGATCAGAAAACTTTTTTAAGTGTATGGAGCGACGCAGCCTCCCCACGGACGATATGTCGGTGGTTTCATCGGTTAGAGAAAGAAAGCGCCGATCAGTCTTCTGGCGGCATTCCAGGAGTGGGTCAAGACGAGGCTGGAACGGTGTGTGATGCTTGAAGGCGATTATGTGGAGTAGTGTATGCTGTCATTTATCGTGCCTATGTGTATTTTTTATGAAAATACAGCAATTGTCCATTGTGTAGCCATAACAATAAGCCAATAAGCTCTGGTGACCTCGCGCTGGCGCTTGGCGCGCGATTTTGGCCATTGCCAGACTCCTTTTTTATGGTGCGCCGCAGGTTCGGGTGGTCTCTTGGGAAAACGACGATAGCTTGGAGTAAGAAGTAGCTAAGGAATGTGGTCTTCACCATTGGATAGAAAAAACATCGGCGCATGAAATGACACCAAAATAATATGTGCACGTGCAATAACGTTTAATTGCTTATGGCACTTCCATTACTTAAAGGGACTATCCCACCTTTAACATGGGGTTTGAGTTGAGATAGCCAAGTTTGCGGCGAGGTTCAGAAACCACTATCTATCTAGGTTGCAACCCCCGCGGCCTCTTGGTGTTGAAGAAATTCGTTCCCTTCATTTGAAAATGGGCCTTGTGCAAGGCCCTATCTTCAACATGGAGCGACCGTTAGTGTGACGTCACCTCGTTTAGTCATTCTGATTTAAATGGGTTTGTTCGTTGACAAATCGCTTAAAACTTGGTCTGAACTTTGTTGTGGTGCCTACAGAGTAAAAAGAATCAGCTTCATGACAGTAATGTGGCCTGGGGAAGGAGGTAATTTTGGGCTGTGACGTCACATATTTGAAAGTTTGTGTTTGGAATATGGGAAGCCTAAGATGTTTAATGAAAAATAAATGCCAGAACCGTGTTCCTGGTCATCCAATCTATAAAGTCGGGCACAATTTAACTGGTTTTAACAACATTTTAGAAGGTGGGATAGTCCCTTTAATAGTCAACCCTAGTAGTTTCAAGTTTTTGTTGCTGCATAAAATTAATGACAACATGGCAAACAAAAATATTGTAGCACACATCTAGGTAGGCACATTTCTTTATATATTTTTGGCACGCTGCAAAGGAAGGAGAAAAATAATTCAATATTTCTACCTTCTCTGTTTAATCTGCATATAAAGCCTTTTCCTAAAGCAGCTTTTCACTCCGTACAATTTGTTTTTTGTTTGTTTTGTTGGGTTAGGCCCTTTCGGTCCAATGAGACCATTTCAGAGCCGGGAGGAAGATAGGATATATAGGGGGAGACATTGGTCTGGGCAGGCACCCTAGTGAGTCGCCGGGGCTGAGCCCGTCCAGAGGACAGGCCACCCAGCCCCAAGGCACTCACTGCACCCGGCTACGGGGTGCGCTCCCTCGGGAGCAGCGGTGCCGCTCCAAGGGAGCAACCCGCATGTGATAAAGTTGCCTGTCCAGCCCGGAGGGAGGGTTGCGGCGTGGAGAAGAAGGACTTCAGTATCCTGAGGAATGAGGATAGAAGCACGGAACGGTGCGTACAATTTGGCGCGTCACGTAACTGTAATAGCGCCTCGATCGCTCGGAGCCGTGCGGCGCAGTATGAGTTCAGGCGCTTACCACTAGTGCCATCTGTGGGCGAAACAGCAAAACTCTGCGCCGCGTCCGCCACATTGTTGAAGGGCCGCGGTCACGCTTATGGGCTGCGACAAATGAACACGAATGAGCACAGCAATGAGATGAGTGATCACTGTTGTGCAGCCGTCGACTCAACGTGCATGGATAATAATTTTACATGCATAGGAATACGAGTCGTATGAGCAAAATATAAGGCATGCATTCATATTATTCGGGTCATTTCCTACTTCCGTACGAAAGCTAGTTCCTCGCCATAGATGACTACTGTTATTTCCTTTGCTGCTTTTTTAAAAGAAACTTAAGCATACGCTAAAGGCCTGGCTACACTATGCGTTTTCTGCGTGCGTTTTTGCAGGTTTGCGTGTTTTGCGTAATATCGTTCTAGGAAAAAAGTTATAAACAATATAATTTTTACTTTGGTTATATACAAAAGCTAATATAACTCTTATGTAACTAAAATTTAAGGTGAAAAACATCACAAAAACGTAATATCGTTCTTTTTTCTAGAACGATATCACGCAAAACACGCAAACACGCAAAAAACGCACGAAGAAAACGCGTAGTGTAGCCAGGCCTTAAGACTACCGCATTTTATGCATGCAAGCAATGCTTCTTTTTATTGCTATCCCATTGTAAAATCAATTTATTGTCCGTTGATTGAAATGTCCCCACGAGTAAACTGCGCGGCGAGCGCCATCCGACATGATCCCTAATTAATGTCACCTGCTCATTAGTGCTGTCACGCCAGCCGGCCGAAAACGACAGAGTCACGTTTACATATTCTACAGGGGTGCTAATTAATGACTAGCCAGTACGACCTGAGTCCTGGCCGGGATGAGGCGAACCAGGGGATGCATCGTCCTCAAACTACTTCCTGTTGATGAATCATGTATGTATGCACCTACCTTAGCGGCAGCTAATAAGTAATTTGATACGTACTTCGCAGTCCGAGGTAATCAAACTACACATGCACATAAGGTATCCTATACATTGTGCTCTGTGCAATGTGCATATCAGGCTATGGCCTTGATGGTATACCTACATGATTAAGTCAGGAGGACGTTTGTAGAGAGTTATTTCACATAATAATTAATATTGCAGATATTTGAACTATAGCAAAGATTCGAGAAGCGCAAATCCAATTTGTTACAGTTGAAAACGGAAAAGAACTCTGTCCTTTCTCCCTCTCCCATTCTCTCCATGCCTCTCTCCATTCCTCACACGAAGGGTAACACACTCACCTTCCAGCGTCTGCGAGCCTGGTAGTTTTTCAGGTTGTCGATGTTGACCTCCTTCTCTCGCTGTTCTGCCTTCTCTTCCTTTCCTCGTGGCTGTCGAGAAAGATGGAGAGATATGGTTATGTGTCGCCGATAGAGCAAGGGCCGCAGGGAGTCACTAACACAGCAGTGCAGGGGCTGTAACTTGTTATCATGTTTGTCGTGTTGATAAGGCATGAAAATACGACATTGCAATCCTAACACCTATTTTGCTGAAAGCAGTACATTACACACCACTGCGCAACACAACTTCAATATTTTAACAAAAATAGCACAAAGTCAGCAAAACACATCGTTGCAGCAACCGTAATGTGCGCGCATGTTCAGTAAATGTGCAGATTGCGGCGATCACTATCCGTCTCCATGCATCACAGATTCACATCACAACCTTTGTCCGTAACTACAACAAACCGACCGCGGCGGCCGCCCGCTAACCCCGCCACCTCCTGCACGGGCTGGTCAGACCTACCTCGATCCAGGGATGTCGCAGACACTCCTGAACGTCCGCACGTCGCCTGCGGGCACACGACAGACGACGAGTGGTCAGCACGCCACTGGGCAGCCCGCCCGGCGGCCGTTTGCCATTGATTTGGCCTGCAGCAGGGCGCGTGAATACTCCGACCGACTGCCGCCGACCGCACGGAATCGATCAGACTGTGTCGGCCGTGACCCGGCCGGGCCTGCACTGCCCTGCAGAGCTGCTCGGCGCCCCACGGGAGGGGGAGGGGTGTGCCCTCACCGCGCCGGCTGCAGCCGATGAAAGGTGGACGCGCGTTATTGTGATTTGTTGGTCTATTGGTTGTTATTCAGTGTCTACACTGACTGTAGGTTTTCTCGAGGGCGTTAAGAAATTAATTTGCAGCGGCGCAGACATGAAAGAGGTGACACCTCACTTCTCAACCACGAATTTTGCTCCTCTGTCTGGAAATGACATAAAGCGACCACACTTGGGTTTCGATAAAAACGACGACTTCTAAGCCGACGTTTCTCAATGTGCTAAACGCGCATTGCTGTTCGGTTGCACCAGCGCATCCAAGTTATTGTTTATTTCCGATTTCAAACGACTAACATCATTTGTCAATGATCAATCCCATTCTGCAAAAGTGTCGAATCTTAACTTGTCAAAGGAAGTGCATGCATGATCACAAACATGTGCTATGTCTTCACCTATGTGTGCATTGTGCAGTCACTGTGCACTACACAGTGTGCAGCCAACGTCAGATATCTGCTGACCCTCTCTCTCACTGCCACTGCCACAGTAGCGCCTAATCATTGAATTAGTGGCCTTATCCACTCGGCGGCCGGCCCCCAGAGCGCTTCTGGGTGAGATCAGTGTCGGCGGCGATTTGGCTTTGGTTCCGAAAGCGCCACTGGCAGTCGTTGCCTGCTAATGTCCGGTCTGACAAAACTTGAGAATGAAGCCGGCTATCTACCGGAATGGCAGCCCCGGAATGTTGCATGGAGTATAGACGGTAATACCTATATTATAATTTTTTCTCATCCAAATTTGTTTCATCGTGTAGTGCAATGATGTGTGATAAAGCAGTGATGACACATACATCACTGTATGTAGACTAAAATGCATCAACATAATGCTTAATATGATGTTTAGGTGCGCTTAAGTAAAAGCAAGAATAATGTCTCTAATGCTAGAATCTGTTATAAGGCAATTGACACCTACAACCTACCACACCTACAACCACACGAGTGTTACGCTAGATACGAGCACTTCATTTTGTCTCAGGATGGCATTTCTTTTTGAACTCAACATCCAATGGTATGTTCATTTAAATTGCCTCCTTAGTTCTTATGTATACCCTGAGCGCCGTCGCTTAGCACGTGTGCTGCTGTGCAAGTTCATTGACCATATCTGCATAAATATCCCGTTTCTAGTCACACATATACCTCAGCCCTGGCCCCTGAATTTCACGTGTCTTTTCTTCAACAAAGGAAACGGTGTTAGCAATACAATCAATCTAGAATACTTTTCATTGTTATATTTTCAAGTCACATAAATCGATGGGTGTCCAGGTCCTTCCTGTATCACCCAACTGCGCAGCGGGTTACCGGTCCATCGCCGGCCGTTCGCCGGTCCCTCCCCTACCTCCCCTGGGTCCGCGGCCTTCCCACTATTGACCAAACCGGGGCGCGCGCGGGCAGCTCACCATCGTGTGGCCGTCGGCACCACGCGCGTACCGACGTGCGTCGCAATCGACGAGAGGCGTCGACGGTGCCGTCGGCGCACCGGTTACCGACGGTACTCCAGGGAGAGAAGGAGAGAGGGAGGGAGAGTTGCTGCGCAGAGACAGCAGGGTGACCCTAATATGGAGCGGTCGGTCGAGAGCGCCAAACCAGATTGGGGCGGTGCAGATGGCAGTTTCAGCGAGATGCTGCTGCGCAGTTTCACGAGGCGCATAGAGATTATATGGGAATGACGAGCTTATCGACCAGCATAAATATATGTGGAAAAGTATTTCGTTGCTGTTGGAGATGAGCGCGTTATTTTTGGATTGGGATAAGTGGCTCCTATTTGCGAGGCTTATTTGATGGACATGTTATATATGAACTTCTCCTGATGGCTGTTCTCACATTACGGCATTTGATCCTGACGTTTCATTGCTTTTGCGCATTATCTTCCTGCAGCTATTTGTAATAAATAATTGATAGGTACCCTTGGGAGCGTCACCAAGAATAGACTGGAATGGGACACTCTGTATAAAAACAGTTATCTGACAGTGATTTGAGAGCCACACATGTACCTATAGCTAATCTAGATCCTTGACAAGGCTTGTATGTATGTAAGTACATATCGTTCGATGAATTATTCTATTAAAATTTTAGCTGCAGAATTAGACTTAAGAAGTTTCCGCGACGCAGGGTGGACAATGAACGATGAACTAAATCAGTGCTAGGGTCTGAACACTACATACGCAAAAAATGCATATTACCTCTTTTTTGAAGCATCATAGATGAGGATAGGCTTCGCCATAGATAACATGAATCATGTTATCTATGGCTTCGCTAATTAAAATGACTTGTTCTCTCCGTGGCGGAGTGCATAAAAGCGCCGAAAATTGACGCTTAGCAGATAGTGAGAGCCAGGTTCAAGCCCCGGTGCGGCCGGCCGCATTTAGCTTCTACGTGTACATACATAATGGCGTGCGTGTCTGTGGCAGGGGCCGCACAGCAGCCAGGTAACGTGAGTGAGCGGAGGGGACCAAGAACCACGTGAATCCGTTTCGAAACGTGAGTAAGGTTTAAAAATAATTAGAAGATGCACATTCAACACGGTTAAAGGTAGACTGCCACCTTTTTTCCACAAAACGGTTTTCACTAGAGCTGAGCCACCTATGTCCCAGACTGAAGTCGGTTTTCCGAAATTCGAACCCGTTTGCGAGAAATCGGAGACCAAAGTTCAGTTTGATGCCATTTTTGTAGTCCAAGAAAACCGACATCTCTACTGTTTATCGATAACTTTGAAACATGAATTTTCTTATCTTTTGGTAAATATATGTCCAAACTTTGATTGTTTCGAGATCAGAGAAGAATTTTGGAGTGTCAAAATAAAAGTTAAACTTATATATTCAGTAGTTCATTTTTTCCAAAAAAGTGTGGGAAATGGGGTTTAACATGGGCCAGACCCATTCCAAATGAGCCATGATTTTTAAATGTTTTACGAACTTAAATGCAAAATAAATTAAACACGGCCAATTTCTTATGAAATCATATATTAGTAAATCATTAAATACCTTACTTTTTCAAATAAAATGTAATAATCTTATGACCTTGAAGTCTAGTGATGTGTAAACATTGTCGCTAGACATTAACCGATTGATAATTGTATGATAATCGACAATTTTTTTCGCGATTCACGTGATGATACTTTGTCAGGTGAATTCTAAAATTTTGTTTTGTCCAGGGAATAAATCATAGGCCGATCTGAGAAAACTTTTTGAAGGTGGCAGTCTTCCTTTAATTGTGTGTGCGTTGGTCAAATCAGGTGCCTTAAAATCTATTCATGGCACGGGTTCAGTAAAGTTGTATATCAAGCGAGCTAGTAACTATTTCGAGCTATGCTAAATGCCATTCGGCATCATATAATCCATGCCCAGCTCAACATCATAAATTTACCATTTTAGAAGCTGGTCGCCTAGCACGAAATGAGTTCTGCCAATATCCGCTTGAATATAGTTCATATGCCGAGTGGTCTGTAAGGTTCACGATATCTCATTAAAATTCCAAGAAGCTATCAGAAACTGCCGAAATGGCAATGGCCGATGCGGGTATCAAATGAATGGATTGGGCTTCAAAAACGGATCAAATCCATCTCAATGCGAGCAAAATGACTCGCTCAGTCTCTCAGCATATATGCCATTTCAAAGAAGAATAATAAACTTCTAATATGCGGGAAAGTTTTGTAAATGTTTCATGGCAACTGGGCAATGGGCATGCAGTCTACATCGGGTTCAGTTTATACGACTCTATAACCAGAGATGTGCATGGATCCGAGATGGATCTGTGATCTAGTCGAAGCAAACTGCAGGCTAGGATCTATGATCCCACCGGATCCCGCGCAAAAAATACATCCTGGATCTCTGATCTCATAGGATCTGACGATAAACCAAGAACACGGATCTATGATACGAGTGGACCCGAACATGCAAAACGTTTGAAACCATGTTTCCAACTGTTTTTGTCAATAAGCGTCACAAAACTATGAATTACGAGCACTCGTAACTCGTATGACATGAAATTACATACAATTACTATAAAAGAACTTCTGTGAGTTGCAACAAGTGAATCTTTAGGATGTCTGTGTTGACAAAAACATGAGCTCACTGGATCTTGAGCGAGTTTTCTAATTAACCCTCGCCCTGGCAGGGGGGGTCGATGCGACCCCCCCCCTAAGGTTTTTCGAAGATAGCGTAAAAACGGCGGCGCGCAGCGCCGCCAAATTTGGCACAGCCTATGGGGCAACCTTTTTACATATGACCTGAAAATTTCAGGTCCGGGTGACCTTGGGTCAGGTCACCAGGTCAGAAAAACCGGTACAAGGTCATGGTCAAATTTCAATTTTCTTTTTGCACCTGTCCAACTCACAGTTTTGCACTGATTTCCTTCAAACTTTCAGGATGTGCTAAGTTCACCGAGTTGTATAACATATAGTTCGGGTTTTTTGAGGTCACTGACCTGAGGTCAGTTAGAGGTCATTACGTCGTAATGTTAAGCCTATGGGAAAATACTAAATTCGGAAAATACTGGAGATATCCGCTTCGTTCTATCACTTTTGTGCTTTGAAACCACAGTACTTAACAGCAGGTGACTTGGTGCTTCTTTGTTTGGTGTACTTATCCATGGGTCAGGTCAAATGAGGTCAACTGAGGTCAAATGACGTTTTTGCCAATAACTTGGCACATAATGACGCTAGAGCTTAAAAAATGGTATCATTGTGTTCCTGGTGATCAGCCGAATCGAATGATATGCGATATGATGCAATTTGGTTAACTTTAACTTAATTTATTAATTTAAGTTTACTTAAAATTTAAGAAAAAACTTTAAGTACACTTCAGCAAGCTAAAAAGTATATCATTCGACGCGCCTTGACGTGCTGAGTTCACTGGTGCTTTTCTTTTTGCTCTATCTTAATTAGATCAAAAGTTATAAGCGAAAAACTTTTGACCTGTTTTTAGCGAAATTTTTACATTTATACCCCCCAAAACCCCCCTAAATATTGACCTAAAGCAACCAAATTTGCACAGGGGCGAGAACTCCAGGGGGCCCACCTACCTACCAAATTTGGTGTTTCTAGGTGCCATAGGAGCCAATCGCGAGGGGGGGGGGTCGCATCGACCCCCCCCCCCCCTGCCAGGCCGTGTTATGAAAAATGCCCTGCCAGGGCGAGGGTTAAATCTTCCGAACGTTCTTCTTCAAAAATACAAAAGACACGTTTCCCAGTACTGGGAGTGTTTCCAGGGGCTGCAGATGTATTGCTCCGCATTGTCCATAAATAGCCTCGTTGCTAGTGCGCCCTAAAACACCAAATCATCATCATCATCATCGCAATTCGTATTGCCCATGATGCTGCGTATGCGTCTCGAGGCACATGTAGATTTTAAGAACATTATTACATTTAAGTACATTTAATTGTCTACATTTAAGTGTCTCCAATTCAATTAATGTAACTGCTCTCCATTGTCTTACATAACCCATCTTACTGCCTTCATGACCAGCATCCCATAATACGCCACACACTCTACATTCACACATGGGACGTGGGCCACCAAGTTATGACGCCACCAAGTCATGCATTTAATTGACCGAGGGGAATAGCACCTTGGGGTCATTCAAGCTGTCTTGTAAATGAAACAGCTGAAACAGAGCTCACTGACTCCTTCCTAGGAAAAATGTCGGGACGTGTTATGGATAGCATAGTCATAATGTAATTAGCACCTTTAGAGCTGAGGCTCTAGCACATATATTTGGTTGACAGCGATCTAATACAGTTATTTAACTTGGTATGAAAAGTAAAGGCAATGATTGAACATATGTTTCTATGTCTTGGATCAAACCCCGCCATATCCACTGTGATGTACACGTTGTCTCAGAGAGGGAATATTCAGTGGCATAGATGGCAGATGTTGACCTTCTCGGTTCTATCATGCAAGTGCTTATGGGAATACAAAGCACGTCCTGTCTTCCTAGATGCATTTATTTATCTTTCTTCTTTAGTACCACCTAAGTGATTAAATACTATTCAGAGGCATATCAAAAACATATCAGCAAAGTTATATTCAAATAATATAACTTTGCATTTTAGTAAAGCATATGGAAGTCAATGCTAAAAATGTTTCAGCGGATCAAATTGCGTTTCAAATGAAGTTTGACGAGATTGCGTATTGATCCTGCAAATAAAAAGAAAGATGACCATCGGCTCTTGAAACATCTCAAGTAGTTTCATTTTTGAATCGAGACTCGTACGGGTAAGTCATACGGCACAGCATCATTGCAGGCGTCTAGCACTAGTGACATCTAGCGACTGGAGTGGAAAATGAGAGAACATGACACAAGACAGGACCTGGGACCATAGGTTACTGAAGATAGCACAATTTAAGTAACATGCTCTTGTTGCCTGTTGGTAATAATGTGGCATGAGCGAAGAGCGAATTAGCATGAGCCACTGGCTGTCAAGCAATCGTCGATATCGTGATATTAGACTATTTAGAATGGCCGGCCCCCTGCCCGTCCAATTAATTTTCCAAGTGCTTACCTGGGGTCCCTGACAAACAGACGAGAGATGAAGTCCTTGGCCGACTCGGACGTGCCGCCGAAGTACTCCTCGTCGAAGTAGTAGTCGCAGGCCACGATGTTGGCAAAGGTCTCCTGCTGAGTGTCTCCCAGAAACGGAGACGCCCCGGAGAGCCTGGTGAACAGAAAGCAAAAGGTTTAACCCGCGCCCTGATGGGGGGGGGCCATTTTGGCCCCCCCCTGTGGTTTTTCTTAAATAGCGAGAAAACGGCGGCGCGCAGCGCCGCCAAATTTTGGGTACCTTACCGGGCATCAATTTGACACCTTCACGCAAAATTTCAAGTCACAGGTCACCTCAGGTCAGGAGTTATTGAGGTCAAACTGAGGTCATGTTCGAGTAAAAATGAGCAAAAAACATGACATCTTTAAACGCTCACAAATTTTACAGTTAACAAGCAATTTTAAAGTTCTTTATGTGGTTGTGTAGAAAAAAGACGGCGCTACAAAACTGCTATCTCGGATTTTCGAAAGTTTGGGATTTTGACCCCCAAAAATAAAAAAATGATTTTTTTAGAAAAACTCAAAAAATTTCCAAAAAATTTTCGAATTTCGAAAAAAACGGAATATATGTGATAGTCCCTGCGCTCTTCGATATACATACCAAATTTTAGATCGATACCTCTTTTTTTGGCCAAGTTATAGCGAAAAAACTGTTAAAAATTGATGACATCAAATTTTTGAACTCAATTTTTAGCAATTCTAGACCTCGTAGCGCAAAACGGAGACCACCATTGAACTCCCCGTGACGAGCTGCATCGAATAGATACCCATTTTATGCAAAAATATCAACTTTAAAATTTGACCTAATTTGACCTGACCTTGACCTGACCTTGACCTGACCTAGACCAAAACGTGACCTTAGCTGGCCCTCAAGTCTGTCTGACCCACATAATCGCATTTGTCATGTAAAATGGACCATAAAACATGTATCACACGACACTTTCATATTGTGACCCCCCAGTGACCTGACCTCTGTGACCTGACCTGGTATCAGTGACCTCAAATAGCAAAATATGTGTTTGAAGAACATTTCCCCATCGATGATTTTCAATGAAATGCATTTTACTCGATTTTACAACGCATTTCTTGAAATGCCTGTAAACGGTAAAAATTCGACCTTTGACCTGACCTGTGACGTCATCGGTTTGACCGAGGTCAATGAAATTGGGTCACAAGGTAGTTCCCCGTTGGGGCTATCCAACACCGTTTACCGCTTGTCGCTATGTTGCGTGGTTCTCGAGATCTGAGGGGGGGGGGGGCCAAAATGGCCCCCCCATCAGACCGCGTTGCTCGGCAGACCCCATCTGGGCGCGGGTTAAAGGGGATAGAAACAGAGGGTGGGATAAATGAGATAAGGAAGGGAAGAACGAGCTAAAGATACGAGAGTTCTGTTCAGCCTGCAGACAAATTGATTCTGGATCCCGCAGACGAAGGATTTACGTTGATAGCATTGTGCGAGAGCCGCAATGCCTCGCCGACGACCGAGAGGCGCCACCACTGATGCCAGTGCTACCTGGTGTCGAATCATGGAACTATTAGTACATCGTTTTCACTACGACGGAGCTAGGCGGCGGCAGTGCAGTGCGAGGGGTCTCATTCAGAACGTGCGGAGTTTTGAGTTAGGAGTTAGGACCGTTGTTCGCAAACCTCACGGTCAGCTTTATGCGGCTCCTGAGACACCTTAGGTAATAGCATTGACGGAAAATGTGAAAACTTTTGATTTTGGTGCGAAAAGGTGAACATGTGACTTGTGAGTACGGAAAATGAAGCCTGTGCTCGGTCATTTCATTGGCAAGCTCGCATCGATGAAAGGACAACGCTCGAGGGGTAAAACATCAATTTTTACAATGCTCAGGAGTCAAGACCTAATCCATCCTCAACTTGGATCATGCTCCTGTGCTCCTTCACTCAGGCAGCCATCTAGGGAAGTCCTTATAAAAGCATAACCCCTTCAGGGTATTATGCACTGATAAGTGAGCGCCTATCACCATTCATTGGGAAAAGTCATTTCGCAACCAATAATGGATCGAAGTCAATCAGACTACCTGTTACAGCGGTATATTGATGATCCGTTATTAATTGGTTTCTTGTAATGTTTCAATTAAAACTACTGAATAAGCAAGATTACCACCGATACCATAGCTCATCAGGAAACATGCTTGTCAGGAGGCTGTGTGAACGATTCAATTCAGCTGAGCATAGAAGAATCCAGCGGACTACGAATTACGATGTAGCTTAGAAGGCAGATCCTAGGGGTAAGATGCTCATTTGTCAAGTAAATATAGGCAGTGTTATTTAGCACTGTTACCGAAAGCTCATGCTGATAGCATTATTTAACTCTAACAAAACGTATATCAGGCAGCGACATACTCACAAGATATAGGTGATGACTCCGACCGCCCACATATCACAGGCCAGGCACAGAGGCTCGTAGTTGACGATCTCCGGTGCCACGAACTCCGGCGTTCCTGAAATGGGCGCCGACCGTCAGTCTCGTAACTTCGGGGGTCATTCCTTGAATCATCACGGTAGACAGTCACCAAAGTCTCTGGCATGTAAGGTGGCCAGTGGACATGAAGACTGTTTGGTCGGAAAAGGAGCTGGAGCTGTTGGAGATGTGATGTATCGGCAGTCAGATAGATGTGGAGCTGACATTTCCAGCCTCCGTCGACCGTCAAGCGAAGTTAAGGCCGGAACACAGCACACGCTTGCAAATCGCGTCGAACTCGCGTCAAGCGCGGAAATCGCTTCGTCCGCTGTGTTTTCACTTGCAATTCAGCTCGCAACCCGCGTCGAAAACGCGTCTCGCTTGGAAAACGCTTTACGCTCACAACTCGCGGCTGAAACGCGTTGATTATTGATTACACTTGACCTTTGCACGTGACATCTTAGCATATCCATGCGTCTGTTTCATGACAAAATTTTATGCGGCGTTCTTTCGATGAAAAATTTTTAGCTTTGGTATTTTAAATGACCTTCTCCTCGATCATTAATTAAAATCAGCACAGGTTAAATGTTACTTTCTTTTGTAAGAAATTCCTTAAAAAAACAGTTGATGCCAATGCCATGCCACACAGGTAAGTTCATCATGCCACATTGGAACTTAACTATAATTTGTTCAGTCAATTTTAGTATTTTAGTCAGTATTTGTTTGCCACGTATCATGGTCATTGGTCACAATCGGTTGTTCAGAAGTTTTTCAAGCGAATACAACACCGCTCTTGCAAATCTAACAACTGTTATCGTTCAATCTAATCTAGCAATTCATTCAATCTAATAATCCAACGATTACCATCCGTAAGTAAACTACATGTTTCTCCTTTTGCGTTATGCAAATCACAGGATATACTTAACCCTCGCCCGCACATGCCATTTTCCCATCCTAGAACGCACATGGGGGGGGGGGAGGCGTGCCATTCCCCCCGCGCCATTTCGTTCCTGTTGGAGATAGAGCTTCGCGGTAGAGACCAGAAAGATTCTTTGGGAAGAGACAAATCCAATGATTCCCAGTTTTACCTTCTCAGGTCAGTCGTTGACCTTCCAGGTCAGGTCAAACTAAAAAAATATTGTTTTGGGTCACCGTTGCATATCAAGTGCGCTGCTCATCATATAGGTACCGGGCGATGACGATGCCGTTTTGTGGTGCCAAGCCAGCTAGAACCCTTTTGTCACACTATCCGATCAGGTTTTTGCTGCTGAGGTCATTTCAGGTCAAGTTAGGTCAAGGTCAATGATATGTGTTTGCATGTCTGTGAGTGTATGCGAGATACTGATGTGTGCACCGATTGTTTATGTGTCCATATTACATGAGATCATGAAATGAGAAGGTTTTACCAAAGATACAGTCAAAGAAACTTCACGAAAAGTAAATTCATCTTGCCCAAATCGCAATGATTTTAGATGATGTAGGGGTGGAGACTCGAGCCCGGTCCTGTGGGTCTGTCGCTATCTCCCCCTTTATCAGCTACTTTACTCTACATATGACAAGTGGTTGGTTGGGACGTCTCCCTTGTGCCGTTAACCCGTCTGCCACCCGGGCCACGTGTCATTCTACATGTGCATCTACGGTGGGGCCTTTACTCGAGTGGTTCAGTGGTGAATGCTCGCCATTTGGTAGCCACGCGGTGGGTAGCGTGCCGATGGCTATACTAATCTAATGAGCACCAAACCCTTAAGCCAACTAAAGTTAACTGGCAAAACTAAAGTACCGACATAAAATTGCTTCCACTCTTTTATTCCTCCTTCTCGTATTCCTCCATGAAAAGTTGATATCGATTTTGCAAGTGGCTGCGATGGTCAAGTGGCCCAAGGAGCGGGTTCGGTTTTTGGTAGGGGAGGATGGGGTAATTTGGCCGCTTTTTTAGGAAGCGCTGTAGCTGGGAAGTTGGCGACAGACTTCTGCACTCTCTCAAGGCTGGCAGGTGTAGCATTCATTTTACTTTCTTATACAGCAAGCTGAAAATGATAGAGCAACTGCTTATGCCTGAATTTTGTCGTTCTACAAAGGTTTGCAAAGCGGCTTAATTGCCCCTCTAGCAGGGTTATTTGGCCGGTGGGGTACGGGTAGAGCAATTTGGCCGGTGTTAATTTGAGGCCTGGAATTTATGTTACGGGCAAGTCAGCTTCAGCGCCAGCAATGACATGTGTCCTTTACGCATTTTTAGGCTGACTCGATGTCGGACTTATCTTCGAATGATTTTGACTCAGGTCTTATTTCAGCATTTTCCTGCACAACTGAAAATGCGCTTCCTTAGCATACACTGCTAAATCAAACATTTGCATTTTATTTGTGGTGAGAAAACGTTAACCCTCGCCGGCCGAGGGGGGGGGGGGCGGGTGCCGCCCCCCATAGTTTTTTTCGCGATAGCTCCGAGCACGCTGGCGATAGAGAGCTGAAACTTGGAATACCTGACCTTTGATTCAAGCCGGATCTTTTGACACCAACTGCATTTTTGGGTCAGGTCAGGTCACTGACCTATGACGTCATAAGTGAACCTCTGCACGGTCTTCAGATGTCGCAACTTTACAACGCCCTCACTGCCAGAGGAGATGCCACAGGGAAATAAAACTTGCAGAATCTAGTATCCATTATGAGTCTCACAACTTGTATATCTCGGATTTTTTTCTAGAGGTCATATGAGGTCAGGTCATTTTCATGACCTCTCCATTATAAGTCAATGGGGAAAAATGAAAACTGCTATTCTGGCGCCGGGAACGATCTCCAACTATCTCAAGTACACATAATCGTGATTTGATGCACTCCTTGCAAGGTAAGATGCGTCACTTTTGCAATGTTGACCTTGCGTGACGTCATTTATGACGTCATCAAGGTCATATTAGTTTTTCGTCAATAACTCTTGAGCAAATTGAGCTAGCGAGTCAAGAAAGCCACCAATGGACTCAGGAAGACCTGCCGAATCGAATGACATGCGACATGACCTCTTTCGACCAACTTCGTGACCTGGGGGTGCTGACCTGACCTTGACCTGAGGTCAACACCCTAAGTTGAACTGACCCAAACAAAAAGTATATCATTCGACGCGCCTGATCGAGGCGATCACGATGCTGCCAAAATCGCGGCTCTGCGGCCGTTTTTTGCGAAGTTTTTCACCAAAAACTGAACCGTACCTTGGGCACTTGACCTGACCTCAGAGGTCACCGGTTGACCTAGGACCTTAAAATTGGGTACCAATCTCTGTGTCTCGTAACGGCGCACACGCTCGTTTTTTTCGCGACGCGCTAGCTCCACCAGGGGCGAAACGGCGGAGGGGGGGGGGGGGGTCGTACCCCCTCGGCCGGCGCGTATGTAGAAAACCAATAGGTCCGGCGAGGGTTAACTGTTTATTTTAGTAAGGAAATAATCGACTAATTGCAATTAAAAAAGTCTTAGCAATCAGAGAAACTACTCAACCCAGTCTCAAATCCTCACATCTCATACGCCTCCGATGTCTGCAAACGAGTTGTTAATAGTGTTTACTAGCTGGAGATGTGACTATCAGTTTGGTTTGAGCAGATCCCTAGCAACGTCGTCGTGCTGCTTTGCGCAGTGTCTTGATGAGCCCCTAGGAGACAGACTGTGCCACAATGCCACCGCCAACGGCTATAAACCCAACCAGCTCGGTACGGCGACCTTATCATTATGTACATAGGTTGCGGAACCGGGATGGGGGGCACCGGGGCACCGTGCCCCCCTTGATTTTGCCATTTTAACATTAGCCCTATGGGTATTGCATGGAAAGGATGGGCAGTGCCCCCCCCCCTTAATTGGTGTTTCGCCGCTACTGCTTATCAAGTCGGCCGTTCCAGCATAGCGATCCTGAGAGCACCGTCAAGGCTTTTCCACTAGCACCGGCAAAATTACCCCGCATTGCCACTCTGAAAAGTTTTGTCTACAAAGTACCTAGTTATGGTTTTACGGAAATACATGAAATTACTCTTGAAAACGCTGAACATCCTAAGCAATGGGACCACAATGTCAAAATTTGTCTACAGCCCGAATTCTACACGCCAGGCATATAATTTTTCGAACGGAAGTAAATGTTACCATTTTCTAATCAAATTTATGTTTTACGAAGGGGAGATTTTTGAAAAATTTTCCACGGATTCCTCATTTTATGTTGCCCGCAGTACAAGATAAGTTTAAGATTTTTTTTAAACATCAATATATATAAACACTACACAATTTAATACGTTGTACGTATAGAATTGTCAATCAAATGAATAGCGATGTGCTGAAAGCGGGAGGCCACGCCAGTATTTAGTTAAAATTGCCGTAAGCCAAGGTGCTTTATTTGGTTTCCATGGTTACTGACGCTATTACGCTTGCATTTCGCGAGCAGAGAAGCTGAAAAGTTGAAACAGATTCAACTTTTCATCTTGCAAATCGCGCCGGACTGATTTTGCTTGCGTTTCGCTTGCGTTTCGCTCGCGTTTTCCGAGCAGGATCCGGCGTGATTTCGCGGCGTAAAAGCGAGACGTCCTGCGTGTTGGGAGCTGAAAATATGCCATGTATTGCAATGGGAAAAGCGAGACGCGATTTGCGAGCTTAAATGCTGTGTTCCGGCCTTCGCAGCCAGGATCCGACACCGGCCCAGGTGCAGACCGTGGACCGTCCACCCGTCAGCCGACAGCCGGCCGCTCGACCGCTCGGTGCTCTCCGCGTGTGTTCTGCTCGCGGCGCCGGCCTACACCCTCCTGCAGCGGTACTTGGTTTCAGTTACACGGCACACCGCCCCGTCCAGCAGCCGGCCTACATCGGCCTCAGGTTCCTGCCGATAGCGCTAAATCCAATGAGATTAGCATGCCGGGCATTAGCGCAGGTAATGCCGCATAACAACTATCTATGAAAATTGAAGGATGTGCTTCTAATGAATGACCCGCCCATCGCATTGGAAGCCCACAATTACACAGGGTAAATTGGCAGAAGCTCTGATGATTTATCGCCAGGGAAGCCCGGAAGAGCCGCCGGTATCCCGCGGTTATGTGCAGGTCCGCAATCACGTGACATTACTCGGTGCACCGCCACTCTGAGAGCCGCTCGCTCTCTCCCATTGTCTCATCTAGTACATTCACGGCAAGCCATAACCGTCACCGATTGCAAACAATCCCGAATGGTTTTATTGTCCCTGATCAAATACATTGCAGCACCCGCCTACCTTCTGGAATTGCTACTCGAACGTTACGAATGTATACCAATCAAATTATTTTCGATTACCATCTATGTTGAACCCTGTGACGTTGTCAGAGATGATCAGCTCTTTATCTGATGATTGATTGACTTGATCCCGCCAGAACCACTGGCAATGAAATATTATATCTCACCTCGCATTTTTATTTTTATTTATTTCTCCTTATTTCCTTTTAATAATTTTGTCTTTCTTACTCTGGTTCTCTTTTTCTCCTCCCCCCCCCCCCTCTCTCTCTCTCTCTCTCTCTCTCTATCTCTCTCTCTCTCTCTCTCTCTCTCTCTCTCTCTCTCTCTCTCTCTCTCTCTCTCTCTCTCTCTCTCTCTCTCTCTCCCCCTCCCTCCCTCCGTCCCTCCCTCTCTCTCTCTCTCTCTCTCTCTCTCTCTCTCTCTCTCTCTCTCTCTCTCTCTCTCTCTCCTACTCTCCATCTCCCAAACAGACATCACATCAACTCACTCCAGCCTCCCGTCGAACTGACAATCTCCTGTCGTCATCACTGCACCCGAGACCTGGGCGGCGCCGGGGGCGATATACGGAACGACCGGACCCAGCCAGGGTCACGGAGGTCAGCTCAAACTACCGGGTCGGCGATCGGCCGTCGTCAGGTCGTTTGTCCATCGACAGCCGATGATAGTGACCGGTTAGAGCGGCGGCTGACACCTGGTTAGCGAGAGGCCGCGACCCTAATGGGGCAGCTGTTGCGACTAAGCGGCGCTATAATGGGACCGCAGCGGCGCAGAGGGCAGCGGTCATTCTCGGACAGTGGTCTAGGTGTCATAGCACTTAGCGGTAATGGCGTGTAATTGCATGAAACTAGTGGCTACAGCGGCTCTCGGCTTCGTGTTTGACGAACAAGGAGAAAGGGCTTGTCCTAAATGTCGCGAGTATGCACGGCAATACAAAGGCGAACTTGCAGCTAAGCATTTCAAGTGGTTGTTCATTTTTTTTTTCTCAAATCAGTTGCCAACCAAATTAGTAATCTCCAAGCTCTGTGAGAATTTAGGCCCGTGGTTACGGAGCGAGCGAAGCGAGCGTAGTCTTTCCTTAGATTAACGGAAATTTCTGAGTATGAGCGGCCGGCCGGCCGGCCGGCCGGCCGTGGTCACGCTTTTGCGAGGCTTATATCTCAGCAACCACTTGACCGATTTACACGCGGTAATTTTTGTAGGGTAGCTTCATTCCTTCTACCAAGTATTGGACTATACCCGATGTATGTGGGTGACCCCTTATGCACGTGCCACGTGCAAAACGAAGAGGTGTCACTTTTGTAATTGTTGCAATATCTCGGTAACTACTTGGCCGATTGCGCTGAAAGTTGGCATGTAGGTAGGCACCCACTAGGCACTGCATATACATGTGCCAGAGTTGGGGTGCTGCTGCACGTGCGCACGTGCAGGGGTCGTTTCCAGATCTCGGGAACGGCTGGACCGATTGCGCTCAAATTTGGTACACGGTTAGGGACCGGTTAGTAGGGTGCCGTGCACAAGTCAGTTGGGACCCATTTTGCACGTGCGCACGTGCAGGGTGCCGCTTCCAGATCTCGAGAACGGCTGGGCCGATTGTGCTCAAATTTGGTACATCGCTAGAGACCAGTTAGTAGGGTGCCGTGCACAAGTCAGTTGGAGGTAACCCCTCGCAATTTCGCACGTGCAAGGCCCACCCTCTCGCTCGCTCCGTTAGTCGCCCCAAAAGGCGTTATACTGGTAAGTATCGTAGTTACTGGCAGGACAATCCTATATTCAGTTTTACTCCTCTTATTGCTACCAACTATAGCTCGCCGCTTATATACCTCGGTAGTGCGGTGAGAATATACGATGCGATTGCTCTCACAACTCAAACCGTGTCGGGGCGCACTGCCCGCGGCTGAGTGACCGCGGCGGGCAACGGGTGCCTCTCCAACGCAGCCGCCGGGGAGGGCTGTAAATTTAGATCCATCAGTGTCAATCAAGACAATGGCTTCCTCCGGGCGCGGCGTACCGAGTGAAGGACAGCATAACGGTTTGTAATCGCGGCAGGGCTCTGCTGCTGCCCTCTGCTCTGACAACTATCGCGGGGGTTATGTGAGGTTTCTGGATCGGGATAACGCTTTTTGCATGCATACATTTATCTTTTAATTTCGCACCTTTGGCGGAAAGTTGTTATTTGCTTACTAAATGCTGGAAGCTTTAACGTACCGAATTACTTATGCTCAGAGACGAGAGCGCAGATCTTGATGCATCTAAGCAGTCATTCTATGATATGAATCATCATCGATCGAGTGACCGGATAATAGCTCAAGTCTTACCGAGCATATGGCGCTGCTCCTGGCCAGGCTCGATCTTTTTGCTGAGACCGAAGTCGATCAGCTTGATCTGCTGGTGTTTTCTGGTGAGCAGCATCACGTTCTCAGGCTGAAACAAAGAGAGGCCTCGTGTGAGCGTGCAACAAAGGGTAAAAGAGACGTTTCTTGAGAAAACGTGTGCCCGGCGCACTTTGAATTGGGTTGCACTTATGAACAACAGTGATAAACAATGTGACACATACATAGAGGCGTGCATCGGTCAAGCTTCTTTCTAAATAAAAAACAACTATTGACATTTAATTGGACACTCAAAAAGCTTCTACGTTAAAATATAAGGAATTAAGGATGCTATCAAGAACATAAAGTTCTTGGAGTTGATCTTGGCGCAAACGGCTAGGACACCGCTAAGCCCGACCTATGTACGAGCTGGCAAGGCACATGCGTCGTTTTCTCGCCGTGTGCTGTTGATCCTGAATTCGGACTAGACCCCGTATAATTCCAATCCAAACAGCAGTGTGTGACAACGCGGCTGGCGACCATGACTCAGTGACTCAGCGGTGAGTCACGAAGCGAATCGCATGACTCCAACCACATGACTCCACCGCCAGAGCCAGACTCATGCCAAAGTCCCCATAGTCCTCGAGAGTCATCGATCTATTATTATTCCAGGTCCAAAAACAACAGCTGCATTGCAGTTGGAGACCGAGAGGAAGAAAAACGGCTGATGGAGATGGAGGTAAGAAAAATGTGGGGCGGAACGACGGTAAAACGAGAGAAAGTTTCCTTTCATCTGATTCACCAGGTAGAACAGTTCCCAATTCGGCTACACTATCGTTGACCAGATTCACCATTTCACGTTCGACAAGTCTAGATGCACCGCCCAACACTCGATCGTCGTCCACATTTATCGTTGTACGTGCGATCGACCCGTGAGTTATGATACCACTGTGTATAACTTGGCACAGCCGGCTTCTGTCGGAGCAGCCAGAAAACCACGCATTTGGGGCGATTTGTCATACCGTAACGACTTAATAGCCATGTCAAGACTCCGGCAGCACCGTTACGCTTTCGATAGAGGTGTTTACGCAGTCTTGCCTGCACAACAAGCTCACAATGTTCCGCGGTACAGAACTGATTGCTTAAGACGTAAACGGCGGAAAGCATGGTAAAGGCGTAGCCTTCGATGTTCACGAGTATGAATAGAATCTAGTTTACGCGCTTTGATGGAGCACAAATGAGCTGCCGCTACATGAAAGCCAGATAAACTTGTTCAGTTTTCTAAAGGCGGCGGAACAAAGAACAGCGGCAAGAGAAACAACAGTTGGTGGCAAAATATTTAACCCGCGAGTTGCTGGGGGGGGGGGGCGTTAAACGCCCCCACTTTTTTCGCCGGGCCATAGCATAAAAACGGCGCGCCGCAGGCGCGCCAAATTTTGGGTACCTGTAGGGAATTGATTGAAGTTTATTGTGACAAAGTTTCAAAAAAAAAAATCGGTCGGAAAATTTTTGAGATATCGAGGCTTTAATGATTTCTGAGTTTTCGACCAAAAACGGCATATGTTCAAAAAATCATATAAAATCACAGAATAGACATACAGACATGCCGCAAACGCCATTAGACTGCCAATACCATGAACAATCAAATGGCTATCTTCGATTATTGATTATCGTTCCGCATTTTCCAAAATCTTGAACTGAATCTTGGCAATTTATCGTGACTACTTCACGACCATGATATATGCATTTCTTAAATTGAGGTTTTTGAGCCAAACACGTACACATATGATAAAATGAATGTGACCATCGTGTTCTACGCCCCAAATTACCCATAAAACATGTGTCACAGGCTGCGAATATCAGTTTTGATTTTCGGGCATATGTGCCTACCCGGTTGACCTGACCTTGACCCTGACCTATGCTTGATTGACCCCTACATGGAGCTGACACTCTTGTAGGCCTTATATGATGGATTGTGCACCGTTTTAAGTACGAGAGGCGCCCATTGCGAAGTCCTGAAGTCCATGCTACTGAAAGCCCGATTTCAGGTGTTTGACCTGACCTTGACCCGACCTGTGACCTCAAAATTCAACTTTGAAGTACTCATCTGAAGCGTCTCGTCGCGTTCTTTCGTTTGCCGCCTCGTGCGTTTCGCTGCGCCTATTGGTTCTCGAGTTATCGGCTGGGGGCGTTTAACGCCCCCCCCCCCCCAGCAAACGGTGGGTGGCGAAATACCCCAGCAACTGCCGGGTTAAGTTAATGAGATTTTGTCTGGTTTTAACTCTGATATTGCTGAGTCCTTTACAATTTTAAACAAATGCTAAGAAAATAAAGTGAAATAAAACAGGTTCATTTGCCGAAGAAGGACATTTAAGCCAGCCTCTGTGTAACAGAAAACCACGTCATGCATGCATCAGCAAGTATACTTGCTCCACGACGTATACGTCGTGGTGTGCTAATGCAATCAACCCCATGCTGTTCAGTCAACAGCCGGACAATGCGAGCCTTGTACGGATAGGCGCGTCATACGACGTGCAGCAGGCAGCGGACCGATGCGATGACGAATGGTTCGTGAGCCTGCGCCGTCCCGCGGGACGGGGGAGCTCGGTCGGTAAGATCTGAGAGGCCGAGTGCGCGGTGTCGGCCCGGCCCCAGGCGGAGCTAATGCCCCCCTGCGGCGGCGGCGGCCGGGTCAGGCCCGACCTCTGAGCCTCGCAGGGCCGCTCTCACATCTCGTTAGATTATCATTTGCTCAATCATTCATCTTCGAGCAAACGCGCGCCGGGCCCGGTGTCTAAATGAGCGTCATGAGATGATAACTGGTGGTTTTTGCACGCGGATACAAACACTGGCGGCGCTTTTTATTCATTGACGACGGTGATTAACAGTGTTTTTGTGGTTGAATGCTAATGCAGGACTTGTGCTTACTCTGAACAGTCTGAAGGATCTGCTAATTGCACTGCCAAGGATGAGCGGGCTTGGTGTCGGTTTGATTTCGGCCAGCTGTTCATCCACCATGGGCACTGGAAATCTATTACTAAGCGTACTGTGAGATACCATGCTCTCCGATATGCACAGTCATATCAGAAGGCATATAGGGTCTGCAACTGCACTGAACTTCTCGGTGCACCGATTGCCTTCAATCGCTCTGACACAATCGGAACTGGTGCGCTGCGTATGGAGATCGACCGCGATCGACACTGATCGTCCGGTAACGGGGCAATCGTGACCGGCGCCGGAGACGCAGCTCGTTACCGACCAGGCGTGCGCTGCGCTGCGCCGTTTGTATGCATATGCGCCACATGTGAATCACTGGCGCGCCTCTGATACGGGGCTGGTGAGCCGCTCTGCACGGCTGCCATCTGGAAGGACCGGGAGCGGCCGCTCCAGGTGATGGATACCGGCCAGGGGAAACACGCGCCGAGAGAGAGGTACAAATCACCGCCGACAAAATCGTGCGCACATGAGCCGCTTTGGATGGAGATCACTGGATGAACGTATCAATTTGTGTCGATTAGTCCAGCTGCGTGAGCTCCGAAGGGCTGCATAAGGGCTGAGAACTGCAAGCGCTTCGTGGATTGTTCATTAGGTACTTGAAAGAGTCGCATGATAAATTTCAACATAAAAATACAAATTAAGTGACCAGATGCATATTTATTTTTGCGCCATGTTCAGAGAGGAATGTATGAATGCATTAGCAACAGTTTCAATCTTTAAACAATAACTATTTTGTCAAAGCAATCTGTGATAAGCTTTAGCATCAAATGTATGTAATTAAATGTATGCATCACCTGACTATATTAAATGTAACATACGTACATTATAAAACTATGAAATAACCAAAGTAGTTTAATCACACTATACGTTTGTTCAATCGTTATTTGCATCCTGCATTCCCCGGAGGTTATATCCCCAATTTATATCCTCATTTGCTTATCAATCTGGCTAAATTGGCAGCATTGACGTCACTTAATTTTCCCAGACGATTGACAAATGTGAAATGGAATCCTAAGTGAGATATCTCGGACTGCTGATTTGTGATGTAACAACTTGACAAACATCAAAGGATCAATATTATGCAATTAGATCAGAATCCAGTGGTCTCACTAGCAGCATCGTAGGCATCTAATATTAGCCCACGACGGCCTGCTATCGTAAAAGAGCCATTAATTACAGTCCCATGAGGTCCTCCGAACGTGCCGTGATGCTAAATCAAGGCGAGGCGCCCAGTCCGACCAACATTTGTAATCTTTTCGTAGCCAACGTGTAAATCATCTGCCCACAGTGGAATCGGTCCAAATTAATTGGCGCACCTCAGTCAGGTCAGGTAGTGAGCAACTGGCAACGGCGTTTCAATCACAGGCCGGTTTTCACTGGGATCGGCAATTACTCTCGGGTCCTTCAACCGGACTAATCACGGCCTCTGATGGACACACCGAGGTACGCGCTAATCACGACAGAGGAATCACGCAGGGACTGCAGGTGAACGCAGTCGGGGACGATATTATCTCCGTGTTAGCGATTATCAGCGCTGCAGATAAACTTTCCTCGAATGATGTGTGATTGACGACCATTGGGGAATTTCTGTGTAACATCAGCACAGACTTATTTCCGAGGCCAAAGACCGGCTTGAAGCGCCATTGATGCGACGCTTGTAGGCCGGAACATTTTCATGAGACCACCAAATGACGACCGTGATACAAGCTGCCCGCGTCTCAGGAGTAGCCCTTTACGCATGGCTCTCAATGTCCACGGAAGGTGTCAAAATACCGTTTGGGAGAGGACTGTATGTTTGCTCATCCACGATACATACCTATTTGAAAGCGAAACAGTTGCCTCGATAGAATAAAGATCGCAATATGTCATTTCAGCTTCAAAGTCATGCCTAAGTGAGCTGTCCTAGGAAGTAGGAGGGTAAACATATTTTCAGCCCAATGAAAAATACCAATTTCGTTTGATGTGTTCTTTCCCGTTAGTCGGGTTATGTGCGTTAAATCCCGTGCACAAAAAGCTCTTTCAAGTCTGAGCCCACTTGTGTGTGGAATAAAGAAACTGGAACAGGCTCGACGTCACCGTTGTAGTTTTCCCGGAGGTGCCCCAAATAAACTGCCT